ATGGCTAAAGCGCATTCTCGTCGCGACGGTTAGAACCGAATGCCAGTTATTGCACACACTCGATGTAACTATATAAATATCGATATCAATCTGTCAGTCTCGTGTCTCTTTGATGGTACTTAAATGAAGTGGCCCCTCGGGCCTCTCCGTATTCAGCGGCGCAGCGTCGATAATGTTTCTTTTTAAGCGAAGTTAATGAAGAAAAGTATATATAGATATATATATAAATTTCTTTTTCCCGTAGCACGTTCCTCCTTTGGCCCGTCGTGCGACTCGAGCACGAATCTTTTGTACATAAAAAAAAAAAACCGCCGCGAGTCGCGGACGCAAAGCGCGAAAGGTAATATTTAATTAATTGACGCTCTTGTCTTTTGTCGCAAGCCGACTTTGCGTATAAACTCATTGCTCGTTTATATGCGATGTATTTTTGTGAACAGTATTGAAAGTGCTACCGTTGTACAGTTATCACATGGTAAATGTACTAATGATGTACCTATAATGTACATAGATATATTTAATTAAAGTGAATATGAATTTGTGTAATTCTCGGGAGTATTTTTTTCCTGTCTCTCTCTGTCTCTCTCATTCTTTCTTTTTCTCTAGAAGAAGAAAGAACAATTTGTCTTTACGCTTCCACTTCGGTCCCTGGATTTCGATACTTGTCACATGCTTTCTCAAATGCGATCCGCGCTAATTAATGTCATTTGTCTTGTCTGCGCGACGTAATTACTTACGGTAATTTGGATTCGAGACGCCAAGTAAATTCGTCGCGTTAACTTAGCGAAAATTTAGAGACTCGGTTCACACGCGCATGATAAACGCGAATTAAATTTATAAATGAAACGCGCGACTCGTGAATTCGTCTTGTTATCTCGATATATTGCCAACAGTAAGATCGTATCAACGCGCGACTGTTTCTGCATTTGGCGATTACGTAACTTTACCGACTATGTGGGACGTAATTATCATGCAAGGCACTCCGGACGCTTTTTACGTCCAGTTGTTTGCGTTACCACACAGACCGTTCGAAAAAGTTAGCAGATAACACACATGCAAAAAATTGCAAACGTCGATAGAACAGGCGACGAAGATAAAAGGTGTCGGAAAAAATCAGTCCGTTTTGAAGAAAACATGCGAGGAAAAGCGTTTGCCCAAGGTGGTGCTAAAAAAGATGGATAAATCGATAAAAGTCGTAAAACTCATGGCACTCTTGAAAGAACGTAAGGTAGTAAGCGAATCGGCCAATCACAGTGAAAAATATCAGGTAATAACAAGTAGCAGCAAATCCAAAACATTGATTTTCTTATATTGAGAGAAAATATACCTAATTTAGTACATAAATGTTTGTTTGAATAGTGCCAATTAAATATTTACTAAATGTAAACATGTACTTATTTAGTACAAGAATCATTAATTTGATTTAACTATTATGTTTGTTTATTTAGCAAATATTCATTTTCATAAATTAGTATTATTCAAATAATTAATTATTTATTAAAATTTAGTACTTTCATTGTATGTATGTCTTTCTAGGTAGAACAACAAATTTTATAACAAGGAATAACATCAATTTTTGAAATCACATTTTTGATGGTGACTTTGTGATGAATTCTTGATATGACAATGATTTTTAAGTAATTTTTAAGTAATTATATATATATATAAAGTCAAAGATTATTATTATATATATTACTTAATGTCATTTTGATCTTATCATGTTTTATTTGTGTTTTGTTTGAGTCTATACCAGTAAGAGATACAGTTTTTAAAATAACTAGGTACCGTTATTTAAAGGCAAATATAATTAGGTATAAATACATATTTTTAATAATATTTTAAGTAACTAGATACAGATATAAAAATAAATTTATATATATTCGTACAAATATATAATTTTATTTCAAATCTTTGTTTTTTCACAGTACAAGTAACATTTCAAAACGTTTATCAGATTTTAAATGATTTTATTTTGATGTTGAAATTTTCCCACCAGTATTAAAACGACGTTCTACTGATGCTGAAAGAAGGTAGAATTGTATTGTACAATTTAAATATTTCAAGAATTATATTATAATTATGCAAAGATTTTAACTCTTTTAAATTTATCACTTAAATATTTTAATGAAAAAATATTTTAAATTGCATAATATATACAGATGAAGACTCTTTATTATCTATTAAGATATTATTTTCAAATCATTGGCAAGATTAATTTCTGCTTAGACCACGTGATTAGTTGAGTGGCCTCTTAAAATGTATCTGAAATATTATATTAGAGGTCTGTTTTCTGTGGCTGAACTAGTGTACACTTTTGGAACTTAAAGTGAGATAGGTATATGTTTGATATTTGTAGAAAGCGAGAAAGTTCTAGTTCAGTCTAGTGCAGAAACAGGAAACAGACCATAGATAATACATTTTGATAAGATACAAAGTAATGTAACTAGTTGTATACGCAGAAAAAGTATTTACATATAATAATTAGATACATTTATTTAGATACCTCGCAATACTGCTTAAATTTTTCTGTGTGTCATAGTCTTAAGAGATTAATTTTTATTCTACAAAATTATAAAGATCCAAAGCGATGGAACGGAGTCGCAACGTTTTCGAATGATCTCTCATCTGAAAGATTATGAAATCAATATCGCGGAATGCATTCCTGTCAGTTACTGTTCATTCAACCATTGTTCCAGCACAGCTCAAAGGGACCGCGAATTAAATTTGTCGGGATCGCTTTAAAACTACTGTTTGGTTACTGTTTGGCAGACAAAATTGACGGTTTCGATGCAATCGCTCAAAGGCGAGTCCACGAGTTTGGAATTGCGCGAGTCTGGACTGATTGTGAGTCGCGATCGTACGAATCCGGATCTTTTCCGATATGAAAAACGCGAGACTGTCGGCATGACATTTGCACTTTTAAATTCCGCCACCGCGATTCCTGGTGGGTGGAAATGTACCAGAGCGATTTTGCGCACGCGAGGGTGAAAAAAATATGTACGCTCCCTCCCCCGAGAGCGCGACATTTTCACGCTGTGCCTCGCTAAAATTCCCCATAGCTTGAAAACTATATATACTTGAATATCTTTAAGTATTATTTTATCCTTTTGTGTATTAAATGTTAAATGTTAAAGTGGTCTGTTTTCTATTCCTGCTAGAATAGCAAAAACTGCACTACTCTCTTTCGACAAATATCAAACATACGAGTATACCTAAGTATCTCACTTTAAGTTCCAAAAACGTACATTAAAGGCCATCACACGTACAAAAATTTTAGTAGTAATCGTAAGGTCTTAAGCAAATCGACCAATCACAATCAAGATATTACGATTCACATTTTAATACGCTAAACTGTGATTGGTCGATTTGCTTAAGACCTTACGATTACTACTAAAATTTTTGTACGCGTAATGGCCTTAAAGTTCAGCCACAGATAACAGAAAACAGACTACTAAGGATAAAATGATATTCAGAAGTATTCAGTAGTGTTTTCAAACACGACTCAGATAAAACATAAAATAAAATCTACAAGACGACATCAATAGGTAAAAGTTTTATTTAAAAAAACATCATAATGTTATTCATTACACTTTTGATAATGATTTTGTGATAAATTCTTGGAAATCATGATTTTATTGAAGTAGCAAATGATTTAGCTAGATGCAGATCTGAAAATAATTTTATTGGATCATATAATTATTCATGGGAATCTCAAGCACGATGAGTAATGTTGCAAAAAATTTTAACATTCGAGCAACAAACGTTCTACATAATTAATTGGATGATTCAATAAAATTATTTCTATATCTATTGTATATCCAAATTTTTAGATGCTTTAGCAAAATCTTTCTTTCCGTGTAATTTTTAAGTGTGATGTAAAAAAGTAAGAATTCTTTTAAGATATTTCATATAATATAATCTTTTTAAATATACCTATGTATATTAATTTAATCGTGTTGTTAATTTAAAATGAAGGATACTACGTAATGTGATATTTAATAATGTTTTAATGATGTAATATTAATTAATAATATAATAAAATAATTTTATGAAACTTTAATGACATAATAATAATTGTAATTAATATTATAATAACAATTTAATATGAAAATTTAATAATAACACTTGTAATAAACTGTAGATGATACGCACGACTATCAAAACAATTGTATTAAAATGAATTTTTATTATGGAGTCCGGATATATTATTCTTTATATTTTTTGGTAAACTATATAGTCAATTATATACCCATCTACATAATTGAAAAAAAAAAAAAGGATTTTATCGAGGTTAATAATTTTATTTATAATATATACGTATAATTAATGGTAATTTGGCCTTTTGGTCAAAAAGGCAAGAGTGGGCAGGAGACAAACAGCAAGAAACAGAAAACAAAGAGCACATTGTAGAATTACCATAAAAGAGATCATTTTAATCAGTATATTAACAAAACCAAATTTATCTGAATAATTAGAGGCAGTGGTTGTATTTTCAGCAGAAAAAATAGTTTTGCAATTATTGTAAGATTCTTTAATACGATTAGTTTATACATGTTTATAGATTTAGTAAAAAATTAAGGACAAGAATCATATTAAAAATAGTCCTAATACTTAGTTATTAAGCTGCTTTTTAAACTAATTAATATTTTATAGACATATAAATATTTTCGCGTGTCAGGATTTATTCGTATTTCTATTAGTCGCTGGACAATTCATGGACAGAATGAGACAATTCTGATCCCAGAACGCGTTCGATTGCTTCACAGCTGTCTCGAGCTGTGTTGGACATTTAAAACAAATGAGCTGATGACGACCTGTCGCTGCTACCAGAATTACGTAACGCGTCTGGTGATAACGTTACACGCTTTTCGACTTTGAAGGGGTGAAGATGGCGATGGAGCAGGAAGTGAGTGGAGATGGTGGCACATGTGACGTAATCTCGTTCGTCAGATGGCGCCTGCTCACCGGACGTTCCGTTAAATATATTCAACCTTAACCTAAGGAAGAAGCGTTTTAGCGTTGTATTGCGTTGGATGGAATGTGATTGTTTGCCAGCTCGGCTCTCAAGTCTCAATTGTTACTCATTCTCGTTTAATAAATCCAAAGTCATTGTGAATTGCCTCCGTGATCGGTCGTTATTATCAGCTCACGATGACGCTGGAAACGATAAAATGGAACAGGGCAGACGGCAAGCTGGAAATCCTAGACCAAACGTTGGTGCCGACAACGATCAGCTATATTGAGATCAAAGGCGTCAAAGATGGCTGGAATGCCATCAACAAGATGCAGGTAAATGCTTATTGTTGGAAAGTGAATTTGAACGAAGTGTGTTTTGTTGAATTATAAAAAGATCTTTTATTCTATAAAGCGGATAAAATTTGCAAAGTTTCGATATCAACCATGTGTGCATGAAAGGTTGATATCGAAAAAAAAAGCTGATATTGATATTGATCTTCAGCTGATAATTGACCTTTTGTTTTGAAAAACAATAATATTATTAATACAAAAGAAAAAACAATATAAAACAAATTTAGTCATGGTTTGTTTGACTTTGAGGTAATTATATGTTCATTACTTACATTAAACATTTATCATTTTTGTTTAATGTCTAGGTTGAGTTATGGCTTAAAGTTGAACCATTCGCATGTTATAATAGTATTCTTCTCTACATTTGTGGCGTTTAAAACATACAACATATGAATAATTTTCATCATTAATTATACTTGATTCTTACAACCCTCTCACTACTTCGATTTTTTTTATAAATAAAAGTCCTTATATCTTGCTTTGTTTATTGAATTATTTAACTCTCTGATCAAGCTAACTGAATTAAATATGAGCTGTGATTAATATAAATAAAAAACTAAGTAAATATCTATGAAAAATAAAATGTTACATTGTATGTGTCATACAGAATGTACTTGTAATAACATTAATTTATACATCATAATAACATATTCTATATTAACTCTGCATTTTCTTCCTTTTCAGTTTGTTTCTTTGTTGACTTTGAACAAAATGTTATATAGTTGTGAATGTATATAAAATTTTAAAGTGTATATCACACACATACATATAATTGTTTAGATTTCATAGTAAATGTAATTTGATAACTACAGGTACGAGGCGCACCAGCCATCGCTATGGTGGGCTGTCTCAGTATGGCAGTAGAGCTCCTTCAACATCCAGGCATTTATAATGACAAGGATGCTCTATTTCGGGATATCACGGATAAAATGGATTACTTAGTAACGGCACGTCCTACTGCAGTCAACTTGAAATTAGAAGCTGAAGGCTGCAAAAATTTGGCAGAGCATATGAGAGTCAATTTCATATGCCATGATATAGACTTTATGATAAAAAAGTACATTTTTATGACTTTATATCTTTGTAGAAAGATATGAGCGGTCTGATTCACATTTATCTTGAAATCTATGTTGTAGTTTTATAGAGCATGTAGATTTTAAGCTGAGGACTGATGTAAAGGACAATAAATCAATCGGGAAATTTGGAGCGGACGAAATTCTACGCAATGTGCCTGAGGGAAGTTCTGTCACAATTCTCACCCATTGCAATACCGGGAGTTTCGCTACCATGGGATATGGCACAGCTTTAGGTGTCATCAGATCTCTTCACGAGAAGGGAAGGCTTGGTAAATATAATCTGTTTTTGAAAGCCTTATCTTGACCGGGTAAGTAAGATACACTTCTCAATCGTTATCTATTTGTTACAGAGCACGTTTATTGTACCGAGACCAGACCATACAATCAAGGCGCACGTTTAACCGCATTTGAATTGGTGCACGACAAGATACCAGCAACCTTAATTTGCGACAACATGGTCGCTGCGTTAATGAAAACGAAAAAGATTACCGCTGTTGTTGTAGGCGCAGATACGGTCGTCGGAAATGGTGATACAGCAAATAAAATTGGGACTTATCAGGTAACTTATCAGTTCCGACTATCTTAATTTAAAATATTACAAAATATAATCACAAACGATAAAAGATGATAATTGTTCTAAAAATAACTGGTTTACCTTCAAAGATAGATATCAGGGCATGTATTATGAAATTATTTGAAATAGATTCCAATCGAAATTGTTCAATTATTTCGATCCATTCCGAACAGTTTCATAATACGTATCCAACATTTATGTGTACGATATACACTTATAATTATTTCTATTAATTACAGATTGCAATTCTCGCCAAACATCACGATATTCCTTTCTATGTGGCTGCACCACTGTCATCTATAGACGGAAAGTTATCCAGTGGTGATCAGATAATCATTGAGGAGCGACCTGAACGAGAGATGACTCACATAAACGACATGAGAATCGCAGCAGAGGGAATAACATGTTGGAATCCTGCATTCGATGTGACACCGGCGAGTTTAATCACTGGCATAATTACGAATGCTGGTGTTTCTAAACCATCAGATATTTTAGATTTTATCGCTAAATATATTGGTATTACTAGAGATACTTTGATGGAGCTTCAACATTTAAGCATGAATTGCGACGACGATTCCTGATTGGCTCCCGTCGCTTGGGGTATAACGGGAAGTGTGAGAGAGAATGAAACTGATGAAATTCGAAACATCTTTTATGAACATATACGTTTGCGAACATTTATGTGCGTGCACACTAATCGTGAATATCAAGATGCATGATTAATTTAGTCTCTTGAGAAACAGTGCCATTGAAAATAACTATATAATATAAAAACTCAGGGAAGTCATGTTTATTAACTGTGTAATTTAGTATTAAGTTACCATAATTATATCATAATAACACCATTCCATATTACAGCATTAAAATTACATTTTTGAAAATTTATATTCTATCGAATAAGATTTATTACTTCACAAATACGATATTCGAAATATGTGTGCTTTATAATATAATAAGCGTGTTATAAATTTAATGTAATATTACATAATATCGCACTGTATATGTTCAAAATTTAAATATTCAATTTTTTTCCAAGTAAAATGTAATAGATAGGCGTAGTAGCAACAAACTCCTCGAGTCTTTCTTTTAGTAACTCTAGATTTTCATCCTCAAAAGCGATGAAATTCATAATCCCTAAAAATCCTATGTATCCTCGAAGGTGCGGCGCGAATTTTTCAAAATTCTTTCGATATAAGCCTCAACTATTTGACATGTTATTCACAAATGTCGCAATATAGCGCCAGTACGACGCGCACGAGTTGCTGGGTTCCTGCGGGAAACCACAGGATTCTATTTTCGCCGTCGAAAGACGCGCGCGGGATCTCGGCAGCCGTGGGTTTCCGCGGCGCGGTGCTTTAGTACTGCCAGCCTCGCCGCTCCGCACGGAACTTGGACTCCCGGAATAGTCTCGCGGTGCTGTAAAATTTTATCACCGAAATCGGACCGATCTGGTGGACCGCTCAATAGGCAGAATAGCTCGTGTTCGTCGCGCTTCTCGTAGCTCCCGTTCGCAGCGAGATCTTCACGGAGTTTTCTTAAATCGATTGGCTAGAGGCACGTTTCTTGTTCCTCGATGGAAGTGGATACGGAGAATGTCGCGATGGACGACTCAGACGCTCTAATGAGGACCGACGACGGCGGCGGCGTCATCAACAGTAACATCGACGATGACGATGGAGCGCCCACCGTCGAGGAAACTTATGAGATTACCACCACCAGGCGTAAAACCATCCGCACCAGCTACAAGATCCAGGAGGTAAGTTGTTTGATGATGTGTATACATGACGATTGCCGTAATCATCGAGCTTCCGTCGACGCTGCAACGTGGGCGTCTTGTGTCGGGTGATCGTACACGAGGCATCTCGGGGAACGATGAGCTCAGCGCGTTTCGAAATGAAAGTGCTAACGCAATTAGATAAAATAATTAACAGAAATTGCAAGAGAATTGGTGATTTTCCGTGTAATAATTTGAAGCTCTAATTCGTTCTAATTCGATTTTAATCTTTCTATCAATGCGTGAGTACTCAATTTCGAATTAATAACAGTAAACAGTTTTTTATTCGTACGAATTTCTCTCTTTATGACGTTTTAAAAACACTTTAAATAATGAAAAACAGTCAGCATGGATTTTATCTAGTTTTCAATTTCACATTTTTAATGAGAACTTTGAAAAAGTAAAAAATTATGCATTGACAGAAAAATTAAGAGTAAAACTCTTCACCGACAATATGAATTTTAATATTCTTCCGTCAATAATAAAGATTTTCAAGAAAGCTTTAATAATTAGTTTTTTTAATAATTAGTTTTTTTTATCATAAAATAGAATGTATTATATATATATTTTTTTACAGATTTAAATTTATTTACTAAAAGTCACAATTAATGTTAATTTGATGTTGCTTTTTATTTAAAGATTTCAGTTGGCGGTGGAGAATTGAAATCTCAAGAGTTATATAGATATTCAAAGATTTTAAACGGCCTCCAGGGTTGATTTTTTTCTTTTTCTATCTTGAAACAAAGTGAAATTTACAAAAGTGAGCAGATTTACTAATGTTGATCAATAAAATTATAAATATTGTAGTTATAAACTCGTTTTGTAATTTTCACCTCAAGATGCTCAATATATTCTAGTAAATTATTATAGCTCAATTTTGTAACTTTTACCTCTCGATTGAGATATTCAATATTTTTATACATTTATTTTGCACAATATTATTGATATTCTCTTTTCAAAACAAACAGATTGAAAATCAATATAGCTTCCGGATGTATATAATACGTTGACAAAATCTGAGTAGAACTGAAAGTCTCCCAAATTGAACTCGGTGAACGGACAATGAGAAAAATAAATTTTTCTTAATAAATATAGACTAACAGTAAGTAAATTATTTTATATATAGAACGAGAGGGGAAAAAGAATTTTTTAAATATATATTCTCGCTCCACTACATCGAGTGTCTTACAATTTATTTCAGCGCGTCGTATATTCTGGATATTATTCGTATCATTTAGTTATTCCATACGATGGTTTGTCCTAGAAGTCGCGATTTAGTAAACTATTCCTTCGGTGTGTTTATTATTCATCTATGAAGAGAGAGAGAGAGAGAGAGAGAGAGAGAGAGAGAGAGAGAGAGAGAGACACGCGAGTGCAATGCAACTGCAATTCTCGCGGTTGCAACGCAAAACTCGCGAAGCAAATGCGTAAGCATCGCTGCGTAATACGATTTGCCTAAACAGTGGAGAGCAACTACTGTTTATTTATTGTTCCAGTGGCCGCCGTGTTATGCTTTATCGATATATATCTCGTTATTTAGCTCAGACGCAGATTATAAGCGAAATTCACAAAATCGCTTCGTCGCGGTCGATTTGCGCGTGGTGTAATGTATTCTCCGCTCGTCGAAGCGACGAAAGAGAGGATCCGCTGTCGCGATTGTCGTCCCACGTGAGACAAACGGCCGCGATCCTACGTCATTGTCAGGACGACGATTTTAGAACTGGCAACGAACTCGCTTCGAGCGCAGAAACGACGGTCGGCAACGTAAGTCGCGGTAAATGAGCGGCAGACGACCGTCGTTCGCGATCGGAGCTTCTAATGAACGAACGCATTCGCGATTTACATCTTCCTGTTTCAGACGTGCCATGCGATCTCGTAACTTTTCTGTGAAATTAACGCTGTTAAAAAAATCCTGTCTCAATAAGAAAAAGAAATTTACCGAGAGAAATTAACGAGATTTGTTTGAAGATTCGCAAGAGCTCGTGAGAATGGCATTAATTCTTTTATGCTATTACAAACACGTGTCTCAAAACACAAAAGTCTAATCTAATTAAGAATACTTTGCCTAGAATAAACTTTGCAAAAAGTGACTTGTGTTTATTTCTATAAATGTAAATTAATCTTCGTTTAATTTACTCTTTACTTTCTTAGGTCCAATTCTAAGAATTAGAAAAAGCAGTAAATTAAACAGAGTTAAAGTTATTTTATATATTAGTAAAAATGGGCATTAGAAACAATTACAAAAACAATGATATAAAAAAAAAGAACAAGTTTGCTGAAGTATTAAAAATATTATATATTAGATATATATTATAGATTTAAAAATAACTTTGTTGGACAGTCAAAATAATTATATAAAAATCTCAAATACGATAAATGATTCTACAAAAAGTTTTGACATTCTAGCAACCAATTTGAGAGTGTTTTACATAATTATTTTAATAGTCTAACAAACTTATTTTTAAATTTATAGGAAAGAATGATTTTATTGAAGCATCTAAAAATTTAGGTAAATACAGATCTGATAATTTTGTTAGATTATCAAAATAATTATGTAGAATGTTCAAGCTTTGGTTGCTCATCATTCTTGAGTTCTTTACATAATTGTTTTAATAGATAGAATAAAATTATTCTTAGATCTGTGTATGTATCTATGTAAGTTTTTAGATACTTCAAAAAAGTCGTTCTTTGCGTGTAGTTAAATATTTAGATATTTCAGCATACCTTTTCGTACATATATTGATTGTCATGACCGTTGAAATGAAGTATCGAAGCGCGAAAATACAGATGTGACCGACAACTGTCCGCATACCAATGAGAATTGCAAAATTCTTGGCTTTAGCTCGAATGTCACTTCAACAGTGTTTCGCCGAATTAATAAAAGGATTCGTTAAAGTGTGAATTATGTGAACACAGTTGCGTGTTAAACGGACTAGGATTGTCTAAGTAAATAAAGAGGGAAAGTATTACGAACGATAATCACGAAAAATTAGTCGCGAAGCTGTTTTTAAGTAAAAGAATTGCGCGGCAAAAAAGGGAAGATGAAAGAGGTTCTATCAGTCTTATTGTACCGGCACGATCGCGTTATAAACTCGATGATTGTTTTCCGCTTGTAATACGATTAGCGGTCACAAAGCTGCTATCACGATTCTACATTTAAACGTGAAACGGCGCTTCGTTAAAGCGGAGCGGCTAAATTGCCGTCCACTTTGTCGAGGACGACACGTGACGGCATAAATTTCACCGGCGATCTGCTTTCGTGAAAGCGACGATCTGTTTCCTCCGCGGCCTCTTGATGAAGACACTCGCTTTCCGAACACCCTGTTGCTACACGACCGAAGAAATTCAATCCGTGCGGCTAATTTTGAATTAGTGTGTGTTCTGCCAACTGCTTCCTGTTTGCATGTTTCACAGCTTCGCGCTATCAAATTTGGAAATAATGGACAATGTAAAATATACATGAAATTATCATGATGGAAGAGTCGTATAAATGAGCAGTATTCGCAGAAAAGCACATAGCATATACTATATACGTATAAGGTTTCTTTCTTTTTTATCCTCCATCTACAATCTGGATCTGATTTTTGACATAAGTAAAATATTCTCAAATTTTTCGGAAATAAAGGAAAACCTGAATCCAGCTCCTTCTTCTAAAATAGTTGAGAAAATTATTTGGTAATATAACAGATTGAAAACTGAGCCTGAATTTTTCTACAATTTTTGAAAGCCAAGAACACAATAAAAAAAACTAGGCTGGACAAAAGAGACCTAAATTGCAGACGGAGAAAACAAAAGTATGATTAATGCCTATTTCTATCAATGTAGTTTAATTTTAATCTCTGTTTAACTAACTTTTCTTCTTTTTCTAATTATAAGAATTAGAACAAGATAAAGAGTAAGTTGAGAACTGAAATTAAAATTAATCTAGAAAGGTAATAATACTTTACGATTTTTTAACGCAATTTTGAACGCAAATAATCATTGTTATTTATCTCTTCTATTAACTTTTTAGGTTAAATCTTTGAAATGTGAAAGATCTTAGGACTTTATGTGTATCTCCAGACCCACAGTTATTCGACCAAGGCGAGCAATAATTTCTCGCGAGTGATCTATGACTTTTCGATGACCGTCCGTGCCATGGAACAGAAGATTGCCGAAGTCTCATTTTGACCTCGGTGCTATTTTAAAATTACATCAGCGTAACTTCTCGTTCTATCCTGTAAAGCCTACAGCAGCAACGAGAGAGCAACGATTTATCGAACAAATGGCTGGAAATCGATGCGCTACTTTTAAATGTGGATGCTGGCGTCGAATCGTGTCTTTCGCTTTATAAATACGAGGAAATCTCGACGAATATTTTCACATTATGAAATATTACTGGTTTCCGACGTCGAATGAGTATGGGAACATTTGGACGAAGTAAATATATAATATAAAATGATAGGCAGGTGAATGCGGCGAATAAACTATCGACAAATGAAAATACTGTTACGGCAAACGGAGAACGCGGATGGACATTTGCAAGGCTAAACGCATAAGGATTTCGAATTCCACGACTCGAATTTAATTGAATGTACGCATTTATTTGACGTTTAGCGACAAGGGACCAGCAACGACGTTTTGCTCTCAGCACGAACCGCTCCGACAACACGTATTATAGAAGCAGAGAGACGTTCAGAGACGTTTTAACCGGTATGCTCTGAAGGCAAGCGTAAAGTGAACGAATAAGCAGACGAGTTAGACGAGTTTCTCCGTGACAGCTGTCGCGAATAACGCTCGCGAGAAACGTTAACAAATCATTCGTGCTCGTAAACGGAACGGAAATCAATTTAAGCATCGCGTGCGCGACGCCAAAGTTCGATTCTGCAATTAATACTCGGAGCTTAAATAAGTCATTTTTGCTAGATTGACTTATGCTGAATTTATGCATACACGTTTTTAATTGGACTAAGTACTGTCTGATGTGTTGCATGACGACACAA